CATCTGATAGTAAACCTCACCACTTGAAAATACCCTAATGGATATAGTTTACCCAGTAGGAACTAGTATCCAGTGAAGGAAATGATAACTGAATATCAATATCTCACTCACCATTGCTAACGAAAAGATTACCATCAGCACCATTATATCGTCAACGAGGAAGTCCTCATTACTTATCTAAAACCAAAAAGAAGTTGAACGAATAGGCTTTCAGATATTCCAAATGATCCACATTTCCTTTGCTAAATCCAGGTTTGCATATACAGCATCCATGAAAACTATCGAATCTATCATTAACTTTTTTTAACATTACTACCATCATAATACAAATTTTCCACAGAATTTGGTCAGTAATCCAATCAACAAGCATCAATTTGCAAGAAAAGATAATTAAACTCCAAATAACATTTCCCAATGACACCACAGAACCTCAGATGCAAGTGCATTTCTGGTAACATCACTCTAAGTCTCTAACTATATCCAAGCGTACATCAAATGCACAGGCACATCCAGCATAAGAAAAGGGAGCAAGAGAAAAATTCTCACAGTGTTTGTCCTGGGGCGAAGGTGCACGACATCCCTGAGAAACTCGAGGGTCAATTTCGTCTTGGGCAACGGGTACTTGGCCGCATCTACAGTCCCGACATCAATGACCCTCTCCACCTCCAGCTCGATGCTCTGCTTCACCCCCTCCGGCGGCGACTTGAGCAAGCCCTCGACGTGCACGCAGGTGCCAGTGGCGACGACGTCGCTCAGCCTGTAGACCTCGGATTTGACAATGACCTGCAGGTTCCCCGGGCACGAGCCGTCATTGAGCTCCAGAAATGCGAACCTGCCTTTGTCCGCCTCGCGTCCGGTCTTCACCCATCCCCCTATCCGGAGCTTCTGACCGGCCAACCCAGCGCCCTTGTCGGGTCTACCCAAAATGGATTGGATCGGGACGCGCTGGGAAAACTCCGACTCCTGTACGGCGTCGCGTAGGGTGAGGCCATCCAGCGCCGGTGGAGTAGAATCCGACGACATTTTGCTCCGCCTTTGGAGAGTGAGTTACTGCTCACTGGACGTCGATGTGGCTATTAAACCCTAAAAATTGTAGGCTGGCTGAATAAACAAGAGAGAATCTGCAATCCGCAAATTATGGACGGCTGGCTTAAAACGTTACAAGCAACAGGATGCTGACACGTGGAAAGATGGTTCGTCCTCACTCGTCAAACCGTGGTTGATTACCGTTTTAAACTAAAATTAGTGAATAGTTTGCACCTTACTTAAATAAAATAGACTAGTACAGCCGTGTGTAATACGGGTGATTGTTAAAAAATTTATTTTAAAATTTTAGAATTAATGAAAAAAGTTGTATTAAAATTTAATTACTTTTTTTAAAAAAAAATATATATTACTGTATATTTTAGAATGACACTTGTTACTTGTACGACTTACATATGTTATATTATCGTAATTTTTCTAACTTTGTAATATAATTACTTGAAACATAAATATATTAATTGATAAATAATTTTATTTTTCTAATTAATATTAAAAAATAATTTTATTATTGTTATAAAGATAAATATAATTTATTTTTTTGTATACATACCATATAGATGTTAAATCGAAGCTAGATGATTAGTTTGATATATTATGTATGTAAAACTGATAAAAAAATACAAAAATTATTAATTTTTAAAATACATTTAAAATTCAATGATTATAAAAATAAATGATATTAAAATGTAATTGATACATGTAACATGACCATAAATAATCAACGTAGTCATTGATAATTCGGACCTAATATATTTTTAGATTGAAAGTAAATTGAAATCTACTATGAAGCATGTAACTTTTCCATATAGGATCCCGAAGCATGCGAGACTGCCACACAGACTCATCACGTTTTGAATTAATATATTACTAGTACAACACCCGTGTATTACACGGATGCTTGCTAATTTTTTCTTAAAATTTAAAATTAATGAGAAAAAGTAGTTTGAAAATTTAAATACCTTTTATAAGAATAAATATATATATTATTATATATTTATTATGATACTTTTTATTGTGCGACTTACTTGTGTTATATTATACTAATTTTTTAACTTACACTATATAACTACATTAAATATAAATATATCAATTGAGAAATAATTTTATTTTTCTAATGAATTTTAAAAATATTTTTTGTTATTATTATAAAGATAAATATAATTTATTTATTTTATATATACAATATAGATGTCAAATCGAAGATCATCAAAAGATGATTAATTTGATATATTATATATGTAAAACCGATAAGAAATACAAAAGTTATCTACTTTTAAAATACATTTATAATTCAATAGCTTATTATATTAGTCACTTAGTGTTTCACTATATAAAATTACAAATAATTAAAGGGTTATATTAGTAAAAGTGATATTAAAATATCTAAGTTAGCTAAATAATATTTATAGAATACTTGAACCTAGATTATTAATTATTAATATATTAATATTATTTGTCCAAACCTAATTACAAAGCATGATTCTTCGTCAAATAGGATTTTGAAGCACTAGAAGCAGCCATGTAGGCTTAGCGCATTCTGAAATTATATATAGGGAGGATAAGATTTGAAGATTAACGTGTAATTTTCTAATAAACGAACAAAACTAGGGCTAAGCCCACAAACTATTACATTGCTATTAAGGAGCCCAATAATAACCAGCTCAGTCCAAGCCAACCCACTTAATAAAAACACTACTATAAAACTAAGAAAAATGCCCTAATAACCCTAAAAACCGCTCTTTCATCCCGACGCAATTTCCTCTACCTGAAGCAGCAGCAGCAGCAGCTCGCCCCAGCATCTCACTGAAGCTGATCAAACTCAAACATGGGTAAGTAATTTCATTGGTGTAACTGTTTCGTGATTCGGCTGTTTTGATGTCCACCGGCTACTGGTTCTAAATGGAGATCTAAATTGTTGTGCAGGTAAGGTACACGGATCATTGGCTCGTGCTGGTAAGGTCAGAGGCCAGACGCCGAAGGTGGCGAAGCAGGACAAGAAGAAGAAACCGCGTGGACGCGCCCACAAGCGTATGCAGTACAATCGCCGTTTTGTTACCGCCGGCGAGTCTCCGTTCCCCTGACTTTTGTTTTGTTTTTTGCTAAATTAGGTCCCAATTAGGGTTTCAAGTTATAAGTTAGGTTTCAGTTACTGATTGGAGGGATCGTACGATGTATATTTGCTTGCATTTTCTGCTATATTTGTTTAGTCTGTGAGATGTGTTTAGACTATGTTTGGTAAAACTAGCTAATAGCTGATAAGGTAGCTTATAGTGTAATAGTAATTTTCGAGCTTATAGCTTGTAACTTATGACTTATAGCTGAAAAGCTAGCTTATATGGTAAAAGTGTTTGGTAAAATTAGCTGATAAGCTAACTGAAATAAAAAATTCAACTAGTTAAATTGAAAAGCTACCTAAACAAGCTTATCAAATAAGCTTGAACTTTTTAAATAAGCCTGTCCTACCAAACAGAGCTTATTTAAATACAGGGAGCTTATAAGCTAATCAAATAAGCTATAAGCTAGCTTATTGGTTTACCAAACATAGCCTTAGAGTTGTTTTTCATTTGATGATACAGTTTGTTTAATTGGTATTATTTGTGACCTAATTAATATTTATGCACTTAGGCAAATTTTAGTTGTTCTTGATGTGTAGTGATGGTTTTGCATTTTTTTGTTTTTCATTTCCTGCAGTTGTTGGCTTCGGTAAGAAGCGCGGACCGAACTCATCCGAGAAGTGAAGTGGTGCGATTGGTTGTTCGGATAGGTCCTCCTTCAATTGTTTTCCATTTTGTTATGTTTTTTTTTCCCAGTTGCCACCAGATATGTCAGGATTTCGGTTGTTTCGAAACAGTTTTTATGTTGAGTATAATTTAGCTGACTTGATTTTGTGTTATCTATATTTTGTTATGAACCTTCAGTTTAGTCGGAACTGACATTGAGTGATAACTGGAAATCTAATCTGCCAGTGAATCAACATCTGTTATTGAACTCCACATGGAACGGTTATAAATGAGATGTAATCGATTTTGATTCATTTCGGATTGTGGAGATGGAACATAATTTATTTTACTAATTTCGGTTTGTGGAGATCGAACATAATTTATTTTAAGTCTACTGTGGTTTAGTTCTATTCGTCTGTTGTTAGTAGGATGCATTACCATTTGCATTACAAATTCTAGGTTTATTGGTATTGTGTACTTGAGATCTTTACTCTGTGCTTTGCTTGTGTATTTGTCTGCATAAATTAGGTCTGCATGTTTTTGAAGAAGCCATGGTTGGCTGAGTTATAGGTGGTGATGGTGTTAACATTTGCTGGTGTTGTCGTTTGTGTATAACTAAAGGAGCTTAGTTTGTGTTATTTTATTTAAGACACCACTGAAAATAATGCAGCCTCATGGAAGGTGTCGTAATAGGATTATGAGTTTGGCCTATGAAATTTTTGGATCTCCTTGTTAGGCCATGATTTATGAGATTTGGATCTCCTTGTTAGGTCATGATTTATGAGGTTTGTCACCACTGGTTGTTTGATTTAACTAAATAACAGAATTGGAGTTTGCGAGATATATCTTCTCCTGATGATACATACATGTTAGATATGTAAACATGCCCAAAAAATGGGCCTGCCTCGGCTGGCCAACGGATTGGGTATCATGGACCCTGAACCAGCACAGACCTAGGTTTAGGGTTTAAGGTTTCATGGACCCTGAACCTGCCCAAATAAAAAGAAAAATAAAAAAATGCACTTTTGAACAAATATAATCACTGAGCAAAACAGAATATCAGCTACCAGACAAACGCTTACTAAATATCACGTCCCACAATCACAACCTGTTAGTTTCATTGCCCACAAAATGAACAGAGATCAACAAATTTCTCAAGTTCAAGTACATTAGGTCCGACCAATCGGTTCACGCAAATCCCTAAAACCACATTCCTGTTTCAAAACAGAGTCTCAACTACGAACGCCGAGCAACCTTGTCAGCAACTGACTCAATCTCTTTCATTCTCTCATCCACCAACTGCTTCAGCTGCTCCTCCTGATTACTCTCACCCTCATCCTTCTCAATACCAACACCACACTCCCCATTCTCCGACTTGAACATTGCAAACGACATATCCCCATCAAACTCAGTCGGGATATCAACCAAACGTTTCCCGCCAGATTCTTTCCCCACAACATCCACCTTCATGCGGCCCAAAATTACGGCCTTGTAATTCTCCATGTATTTATCGATGGAGTCGAGGCCAAGATAGATCAGTATCTCCCAGCACTGGACAAACTGTCTCTTGTTGATTTTCAAATTTTTACGCACATCCTCAATTGCACTCGCCGGTGGGCCCCACTTGCACGGCTGGCTTTTCTTGGAGAGGTTTTCGTGTTTGAGTCGGGAGACGACCGAGTCAAGGGCTTTGTGGATTGGGTCGAATGCCAAAAGGCGCTGCACGTCGATGCATGTCCTCACGTGTTGGAGGGACTCCACTGGTTCTTCCATTGTGACATCATAAACGTCATCAGCAATTGCAATGTTGTTGAGCATTTTCAGGAGACAACTGCCATAGCCCTTCCGCTGGTAAGGGGGTATAGTCAATATCTGCCAAAAAATACGAAATATTAAATTTAAGCACCTCAATTCAAAGGGGTTTTCATTAATCTAATATGACTGACAATTTCCCTTCCAATGCTCTGATTCAGGACTGTTAAACATTCTTATACAGTATAAGTGATTTATCAAGGTTCTAATGCACTAGTATGACTACGTTTAAGGATCTATAGAAACAAAGATTTACCTGACCAAGGCGCAGACGCACGCCCTCAGGGTACCTGTGAAAATGATAAACAGCTGCAAAAGCAAGCAGCCTCGTGCAACTTTCATGTTGGTCTTTCTGGACTAGAATATAGATTTCCCAACTTGGATCAGTAACATCAATAGGGTTACTTCCTGTACAAGGGGAAAACAATAAATAAAAAAAAATATATATTCCCAATGATTTTCTTCATTAAGCTGAAACAGATGGGAACTACCATCTATTAGAAGAAGAACAAGCGAGACCAATCGGCTATAAAGCTGCCCCACCCCAGGACCCCTGACCCGGAAAAGCTGCAGTAGAATGAAAAAGGAGAGAAAAAAGGAAGAAGCATAAAGCTCAATAGGCAGATAAATAACTGCCAAAATACATGTGAAGAGATGGTAATGCTCTCAACTAGAGAATGCAACACTCAATAACCGAACAAACCTTAACAATGTGAACCACACTCTTTGTCGGACAAATGCAGGGAAAAGTAACAAAAATGACACTGTGAGAGTACAGGAACCGTTAACCACATACATATGGAAGTTTGGTGATTTATAGAGCATATGCTTTTTAAGACAACACTCTTCACAAGCAAAACCAAGCAATGATATGAATTATTAATCACAAAATGTTTCTCTATGGATCAAAAAATGAATGGAAAAGACGACGATGTACTGACACACTTGCATTATTCATTGATATGAATTTATCACATTGTATAATGTCCTCTTATAGTCTTGTTTTGTTCACATAATTGCTCGCGTTTTTTTTTTTAAATGGGTGCCACATACTTCCAACAAGGAATAAAAGAAAGGGTACACAAATTAAACACATCTTTGATAGCATTTCCAAGAATATTGTAATTTACTTTAAAAGCAGAAAGTCAAAACCAACATCAACAGAAGACAAAAATGTATCAACGAAATCCTGAAGAGAAATTGAATAAGTGAGTGGCACTTAGGGGAATATCAAGTAAAATAGTTTGAACTTATGACATTGCATCTAATGGCAGTGAATGAAAATTGATGAAACTACCTCAATGTTTCCGGAATCTTCTTTAAGATGGCAAATGGAGTTCCCACTGGTATCAGTAATAGCTTCTTTACTTAATACTTCTGCATCAGCAACGACAGATCTAAAAGCATGCGTGGTTAAATAGGGTGTTATAATTGATAATCAGCAGCATACAAGAAAATAGAAAGTTATTTCACAATGAAGATTTTTACATACTTCACATAGTGGCATTCACTTGAAAATGTCTGAAGAAAGTCATCTTTGCTCTCAACAAGATTCTCAGCAAAAATATTCTGACAAGTATAAGTACTGTTTATTGTCCACATATGAATTTCAAGTTAAGATCAGGTAAACCATCAAACACAATTGCTTAAAGTTACCTGAAGAGATGACTTCAAGTCGGTTATTCCCTTGCCACCCTTATAAATAACAGAAAAAAACATTCAACAAAACACAATAACTGGAACCAAGAAGTAACAGCTTAAAATGTATTTCCCAATACAACTCTATACTTTGTGAGAAAATCACAAACTGACAAGTATAGCCTGCCTATGAATACATAATCTCAATTTAATGATAATTTAACCAAACTTGACATAGAACACATAATTTGGAAATTATAGTTTAGAGATGTTCACTTCTTTAAGAAATCAGAATTGCAGCACCAATAGCTTCACATCTTACAGTTTGTAATACTTGCCTCCTCTTTTTTTCATAAAGAAAAATAAAGCCTAGTACAAAAGATGAGACCTAGAAAACCAGGTAGTTTTGAAATTTATGTTAAAAAAGAATTCCCAACACATGCACCCCGAGTCTAAGGCTAAAACCACCAAGGCATCTAACTTACTGTCCACTATTAATAAGAATAAAACATGAGACCAAACATAAAAAAAAAAGAAAAAGAGAAACAATTATTTCGTTCCACAATTAAATTATGTAAAGAATCAGTTAAAAATTATGAAGTTATGGAGTAGCAGGTGAAAACTTACATCTGATGTGCTCTCAAAAGAAATATCAGCATATGCATGGAATGATATGCTGCTAAGCCAAACAGTGATCTGCAATGTAAGCATAAAGTAAATCATAATCAAAAAAGGGTAAAAAGTTAATGAGACAAAAGTTTGAATAAGTTAGAACGGACTTAATAAGAAGTTACAATTTTATTTGTGCACACAAGTCATTGAACGTCATGTTCAGAAATATAATGCAAGTCCCTGCTTTTGGATACTGATTAAAGGTATTTTGGTATTTCAAAACACATCAACCAAATTTATCCCAACCATAAGATGGATACAAACTTTTATAAGTATTTAAAATAGTCATTACAACACCAGAGAGAACTCGTGTATATGAGGAAAATCCTATAGCGGCAACCAAAAGCGGTAAAAAATCATAAATGAGATAATTACATAGGTTTAATTACAACAGTTGGTTTCTGTCCATGGGTTAAAATACTCCGCCATTGATTTATGAGAAAATTATGGTTATTTTTGTGCCTACATAAAGTACACAGATGACTCAAGGTGATGGAGGAGAAATATAAAGATTGGTAATGCTCCTGGGAAGCCCATAAACTGGTCAGCAAAGAAATAACTACATGCAGACTAACAAGTTAATGGCAAAATTTTGCAGTTGCTGATTATAATTAATTTGCAGGCTTTCAAAAAATGGTATGATACAGGATATATCAAACTAATTTATAGAAGAAGAAACATAAGATCATGCCTATGGAACTGACATTTTTCAATACATTTTTCAGTTACAAGCTTCTCAAAGAAAATACATTAACCCCGCACTTCAGATTTCTAGATTATTTTCCTTCCCACCTAATCTCTCAGTTTCAAATAGTTCTTCAATTATAGCCCATTTGTACAATCCACATTAGAAAGGATACTCCTACAAAAAAAGGAATAAAACCACCACCGAGGCCAAGACCATTGCTCCATGGTTCAGTCACAACAATATTTGGTTAGAAACAATTAACAAAACTGTCAATGGCTAAATTGTAAATGATGGCTTTTCATTTGAAAGTATGACCATCTAGATAAAATATAAATTTACATTAACAGGCTTCATACCTTCTCATTATCCCATACTTTCAATAACATATTTTGAAACAAAGGCTATCTTCAATATCATTAAATATCCACTGGGTAAGTCTACCATGTATGAAAATATCCGATCCACAATGTTTTTAAGTTTCATATCAGTTTACACTCATATATGTAATATCAAATGAACCACCTACGACATGTTTATTTGCTAAAAACCCAACAAAAAATAAGAATACACCAAATAATTTTGAAATGTTTAAGCAACCATAAATGAAAATAAAGTGATGTCATCTATTTTATGTCAAGACAAAAATTGAATTAAATTTCTAACGACTATTATGCATATAAGTCAGTAAAAACAAATAACTAAAATTTAATATAAAGAGCTGCACCTTCAGACCCTGGTAACCATATATCTTCCCATCCTCTTCAAAAAACGGATTTAGGTCAATCGGTTCAACTTGGAAACTGTTTGGAGAATCCACTTCATCTTTTCCAGATACTGTACATGTATCTCAATCAGACAGTCACAAACAGAGTAGACAGCACATAACTAACCGAAAGGCTTGATTCGACACCCAACTCTTCAGTATAGGTCAAAATAAGCTTGAGTAAAAGATGATTCTAATAATTACAGGGAATATGGACACATGATCATTGAGTATAAAAACCCTATTCTGTGGTTTTAAATTGACACCAGTTACAGAAGACATTCCCCAAATAAGGCCTATCCACTTGAACATACAATATCTCATACCGCTGAAGCAAATGTTGAAGGCCGAACAAATACCACAAATCATTATTTTTATTTTCTCAAAAATAACAATCGTAGCAACAAATTTGATTACTGAAGTTTCTACGCGATTATCTGTAACATGAGAAGTTTCCAAAGAGTAGTGAAATGAACAGGCAAACAGCGTGAAGAACAAATCAACGAAAAGAGTATACATAAAAATACAAAAAAATAAGGCAAAAAACAGATTACCCAGATAAACTTTGATGCACTCTTTCGGTTCGATTCCAGCATCTACATGAAATGAGGCCACAATTCAGAGAAAAAAATAAATAAATAATAACAAGCGGCAGCAAGAGAGAGACAAAAAACGATATCGGAGGCGAGTGAGCTACCAATTTTGGAGAAAGCAGAACGGCGTCGCCGTTTATTGTCGGCGGTCGGATCAGAGGAGTGGTGGTGCTTCGTTCCCATCTCGGAAGATTAGGGTTTAGTAGGCGGGAAATTTTGGGGGGCGGGAAATGAAGAAATGTCCCGTATTTTGCCAGTTAATTTATAAGCGAGCAACTCCGATTCAGCTCTAACTAGTACATTACCCGTGCGATGCACGGGGCTGTATAATTTATTAAAAATTAAGAGAATAATATAATATAATATTTCATAATCATTAGGATTGAAAAAATTATAATACGTATGAACATTTAAAAAAAAAAGATTGTTTCATTATGAAACAATTATATATTATTAAAAATCTCCTTGTACACAACATTATGAGTTTAGTTATTGGGTAACTCCTCATTATCACAAACTAATATCTTTAACTCTCTTCTATTAGTTACACGTGAAACATCAACATATAATTGGCCGTGACTAAAAATAGGTTTCTTCAGGAATAGACCAACGTCCGATAATGACTGTCCTTGACTCTTGTTTATGGTCATGACATACGAAATCACAAGTGGGAACTGTCGTCGCTGGAACTTAAATGGAATCCTAGTATCAGATGGAATGATATTCATCCTAGGAATCAACACATTATCACCAGTGTGATCTCTCGTACATGGCATTAAAAAAAAACTTACTCCAAATGCTGGAATAGAGATTTGTCGACGGCGTACGTGACTCAATAGTTCCGAAAACTACATTAAAAAAATACAATAGAGTAATTCTAAAATTTAATGCTTAAGCAAAATGTAATGTGTAAAATAAATAATAAATTACTTACCATTTGTGATATCAGATAATGGCATCCTTTGTGAATTCTGGTAGATATTAAGGAGATTTTGACGTTTATTTTGTGAAGCACACATAACTGTAGGACGTTGATACATTTTTTTTTCTGAAAAAACAAAGTTGTAAAATAAAACTTATTTAGATATACATATTAATTGAATCAAATAAACATATTATATAGAATATAAATAATATACAAATGTGCATATGATTTAAAAGAATATAGTAAAATTATCTTTTCAAGACATAGAATATACATATTATTTATATTCATTTGATATAAATTAATTTAATATATTACATATGATAAAATAATTTACTTTTGGAAACTAAAAAAATATGTGTTAAACTAATATTAGCAATGTAAATCTAACGGCCACAATTAATAGAAGCCTTATATAAAAGCCTAAAAATCTTGATCTTCTAGGGTTGTTCATTTGTCTCTTCGAGAATCATCGGCACCACCCACCGCTTCCTTTCTCAATTCCATCCAATTTTACTTTCTTTCTTTTTTTTTTTTTTAATTTGTTTAAAGATTCAACAAATATATACATATCTCAGCAATTTTGTTGTGGCGACGGTATTCGTAAGATTATGTTTTGGGTTTTACGATTTTTTAACAGTTAAAAGTTTTTTTTTTTAAAAAAAAAAAAATTTGTAACAATCTAAGCTGTTGTTCGAAGAATTACACTTGAATCCCCAAAGATTATTACATGGTGAGTAGGTAAAATACAATCTATCTATATATATATAAAAAGATTTACTATTTTTTAAAAATAGCAGGTCAAATTTTGGTCAAAATCATTTTGCATTAATTACATTCCATTCTTAGTATTTTTTTTTTTTTTTATAAAAATGCAGCATTA